AAAAAAAAAAGCCCTTAGGCTGCGGCAGCCATTGGAAAGCCGCAGCCATGGCCCTGCACCACCCCGTGAGCCTCAACAAGGGCCACAAGGTAGCCAAGAACGGGAGTGGGCCGAGTCACAGCCACCGCCACGGGCACCTGGCCAAGCACACCAAGTTCGTGCAGGACATGATCTGAGAGGTGGGCAGCTTCACCCTGGACAAACAGCGCACCATAGAGCTGCTCAAGGTCTCCAAGGACAAGTGGGCGCTCAGGTTCATCAAGAAACAGGTGAGGACACACATCCGCGCCAAGAGCAAGCATGAGAAGCTGAGCAGTGTCCTGGCCACCGTGAGGAAGGTGGTGGCCAAGAAGGACTGAGCCTCCCGGCCCTCCAGTAAAACCTTTGCAGAAAGAAAAAAAGAAAACACCTGTAGTTCCAGCCACTTGGATGGCTGAGGTAGAAGTGATGTGGCAGAAAGGGGAGTTGGTAGCAGTTAAAGGTATTTCCTTTTGAAAGGCAAGCTGCAAGCTTTAAAGACCCACCAGGTACCAGGCAGGTTTTGTTTAAGAAAGCCCAAATGGCCAGAGACTGACCATTTCCTGGAAATGCAAAAGAGTAACTAATTCACAGACTTATCCAAAACCCCTCTTCTGAAGTTGACAGTTTATGACACTGCAGTTCCTGAAAACCATTTGTTCTTTGAAAAATCTGGTTTTGCTGAGTACAACCTTATAATATTCCAAAGGAAATGTAATCACTCAACACGACCCTTCCCTTACCTAAACAAGGGTATAAGACCCCACTTCTCTGGGGCGCTCGAGCTCAATTTGGACGCATTAGCCCCTGGAGCCCGCTGAGATGGCCAGCGTAATAAAGTGCCACTTCCTATAATAGTCTTAGTGTCACAATCTCTCTGTCTTCCCGCTACAGAAGGATCACCGGAGCCCAGCGGGTCAAGGCTGCGGTAGCCGTGAACAAGCCACTGCACTCCAGCCTAGGCGGCAGAGTAAGACTTCGGCTAAAAAAAAGCTGAATTTGACCATGGTGTCCTCACAGGGTGCCGCTGTGGCATAAGAGATATAGCTCAGGGCTTACCCATTTTGGAAATCTGATAAAGAGCCCTGCCATAAAGCCAGAATCCTGAAGGACTATATCCTCATGGAAGAGTGGATTAGAAATATGCCAACACTTGACCAGACTCCGTGGCTCAGCCTATAATCCCAGCACATTGGGAAGCCAGGGTGAGAGTATTGCCCAAGCCCACAGGTTCAAGACCAGCCTGGGCAACTTGCCAAGACCTCATCTCTACAAATCGAAAATTAGCCAGGTGCAATAGCGCGTACCTGTAGTTCCAGCTACTTGGAAGGCTGAG